CAACTACTACAACTACAACTACAACAACAACAACAACAACAACTACTACTACCACTACTACTACTACTACTACTACTACAACTACTACTACTACTACTACTACTACTACTACTACTGCGACAACGACGACTACGACTGTGACTGCCACTCCCACTCCTCCTCCCTCGTGTTCCTGCTCCTACTGCTGCAGGGCCTGTGGCTCTTCCTTTGGTGCTCATGCCTCTCTTCTGCCGCGATTCCCCGTGACGACAAAAAGCGAGGGAACTTCAGTAAGGGAAAACACAGATGGTGCCGCCCAGAGGCATCAGGTCGAAATTGAAGTCTGAAGTTTCTCCCACCTCAGATTGGAGTGATTGACGAACGGGCTTCTGCCTGCGTGCCGTCGCCACCTGAATGAGCTCGCTCAAGCACTTCTAAAGCACCAAGGCCCAGACAATGGCCTTTTCATTCGGGCCAAGTGCCCAAATCAAGACCCAACCGCGGCTCCTTTCGGGCGGAGACCGACATGTCATCAGTTTCTAGCAGCAGCGCTGCTCTCACGCTTTGATCTTGGGAGACCCCGCGCCCTCCTCGCCCAAGTTTGCAGCTTCACTCCCAAGTCAGTGCCGAAGAGCGCTGGAAAACAACCGATGAGGAACCGAATCTGCCGGGCGGAAGGTGCTCTTCAAAAAGGAGGGATCACAGGCGCAACAGGCGACGTCGTGTGTTGCCAAGGGGCTGCTGTCGGGAACTGCAATTGACCTCCAGAGCATCAACAGTCATTGCAGATGCCCTCGAACGACAAGCTTGCTCGGGACTTGCCTTGCCTAGGAGGGCGCCCTCGAAGTAGTTCAGGAAAGCGCCGGCTGGCACGGGATGACGTCCCCAGGGAGTCTCCATCCTCAGAAATATACGAATTTTCAATTACGGCTAATCTCGCAGTTGCACTGCTTGCGGCTGCTTGCCTTGCAAACTGCACTTGACGGGTCACCTTGTCAAAGTGGTGTGTAGGAGACCAAGACGATTCCAGAATCCCTGCCGGCAAAGCAGAAGCTGTTTGAAGCAAGTTGCAGCCCAAGCCAGTGGCAAGCATGAGTACAGACAGTGTAGCCATTGCTCGTGGAACTTGTGAACCACATGCTACTACAACACAACAGGGGCCTTGTTGATCAACCAAAGGTGCTTGCTGTGCTGGAGGGTACCCAGATGCTTGAAGGCTGTTACAGCCTTGATACCGAGCGCACAGGGTGGCAAGCCAGCTGTTCTTCGTTTTGCTGTCTGAGTGCGCCCCTTTGACGGTAGTAGATGGATGCGTCTGAGCGACACTGCAGTTGTGCGGCGGCGTCCATTCAAAGTCCTCCTTGTCAATGCCTCACCGCCACGCGCTGATATGATGTTGCCAGAGCGGCAACAATCAAGTTCTCACTCATCACAGGGCGGCCTCCACCCGGCAAACTCTGCAGCTCAGCCGAGTCGCAGTCCATCTCATACATACCACTGTCGATTGGAGATAGCAGTGTGCTGTCTGCGATGTACTTGTTTGAGAAAATGGCAGAAACGTCACCTGAGCACATAAACAAGCTGCTGAAGTGCCAGGGGGAGCTTGCAGTGATCACTCTATGCTCTGATTTGATTTTCCCAGCATCTGAGCCACCATAAATGGGACTTCCCATGTCAATCATGTTCAGATTAACCTTAGTACCGTGTGATTTGTCAGTGTCAGGCGATGCCTTTGAAGCATCGTAATCTTGCAAGCGCTTGACATGCTCCCTCAAGTGGCAAGCCCATCAAGGACAAGGCACCAAGGAATAGACCGGGCGCTCGGCAGCTTCAGCAAGAGTCGATGGTGCCCCGCGGGACTTAAATGGCTTCAAGCCATACCTTAGATGCAGGGCGCCTCTGAATGGGATGCTGCCAAGTCACTTCAAGACTGCAGGCCTCATGGCCATGATGTTATCCATTGTGGTGGCATGACGAGGGAAGCTTGTAGTTTCAGATAAAACGTTCAATGCATGCACTGAACGAAACCTGGTATATGCACGCATGCTGACTCATTGCCAGACAGGTTCCCAGCAAAGGCGGTTGCAAAAAAAGTGAACCCTGCATCTAGCTACTCTAATCTTTTTTAGTAGCGGGATTATTACTATTTATATATCATACTCATACTGAAAGGTATATTCCTTAATACTATTAAGGAATATACCTTTAAATATGAATCTAGCTTTCCCTTCGCAGGCCATGTTGCTCGTAGGTCTCCTTAGCTCTCACAGTAGCGGACACCGGTGGGGCTCCCAGGGCAGCTCGCGAAGTCGAGCAGAAGACAGATAGATCGGAATCTCCGAAGTATGATCTACCATAACATACTATATTATATTAGATGATATTATATTATGTTATATTATATTATATTATATTATATTATATTATATTATATTATATAGTATGATTATAGATTTTGATGTGCTGTAATGTACTATGATAAAACGGCCCGGATGCTACTAGGCACGAGGCAAAGAGCAAGGTCCGCTTCTCGAGCACCCTTCAATTCGAAAGCCCCGACACTCCAAAATACCAATCTCAAAAGCAGCGTTTAAAGCGCTGCAACTATGACACAATCAAACATGGGGTTTCGAAGAGCCGAAAGGATGAATCGCCTAGGTCTCCTGGCTCTCAGCTTTTTGTTTTTGATGTTCAGATCCACTGCGTGACACATAGTCTTTGGGACGAAGTGGCTCGAGGGGTCCGTTCCCCTCCTGTTCAGCTCCTGTTTGCTATACGGCATCTCTGGCCCGTATCCCGAAGCTGCAGTCACACTGTTAGTGCAGCCCCAGCGGCTGCATGATCTTGGTAGCCGAATTCTTGCGAGTTGTTCTGGACGGCCTCAACTGACAATGTGTGGCCCCTCCAGAATCGCAACTCGCGTGTTGCTGTCAAGGAACATGTGTGTGGCACTGGCCGTCTGCAACATACGCCGAGATAGCAAACGCTGGGCGTTTCGGGCAGTCCACTTTCCTGAGATGCGACGCATGCTGAAGCACCGCAGTGGATGGACGCGCGAGACTGCAGCGCCGGGAAGCACATGGCATGTGCTCCATTCCTGCTTAAGCAACTGCATAGTGTCGGACTTCGCAGCAATGGGTTGACGCCAGGTGGCTGCATCCCAAGGTCGAGTTCCAAAGATGGGCTGCGCCAGCCACCGACGACTTTCGAACTCTTCGGAGCCAGCCAGAAGGAAGAATTGATCTGACCTGCAATTGCAATGGTCATCCTGAAGTTTATGGCATAGAGTCTATGGTGTTCTCTGGTGTTCTACTGATCTCTACTGACATTCCGAGCTTCAAGAACCTCAGTGTGCTCTACAAGACTCTACAATCCGCCCAACCAGATCAGGCCTTTGCCTTGCTCGTAGTCGTAGCGCACAATCCTGTCCTGACCTTTGAAGGAATGAGGCTGCAAATAGCCTGGCCCGGCAGGACCCCGCATGCACTTTGCTGCATTTCTGGTTGCGTGTGGGTCATGGGTTGTTCACTAGTATGGATGCTGCGGATGCTCATGCTCTGGAGGCTCCCTCGAGAGCTAAGGGTCCCTGTGAAGTCGTGGCATCGACCCCCCGTGCTTCGCTTCATTCAGATTTTCGAATCCCCGGCAACATGCTGGAATAAGCTCGGCAGTAGGACATGTTGACAACAGCATCTCGACAGGCTGACTCTTGTTGCCAGTGCATCCACCAAGCCACTGCTCCATAATCACTGTTCCCCTGACAAGTCACAGACACAACTGCTGCAGCCCAGTTGTCTGGGGCGCAAGCTGAGCTGACTGTCAAGGCAAAGCTTTGTGCCTCGAGGAGTTGACATGGAATGCCTGGTACGTAGCCACGAGACCATGCCACACTTTCTCCGGATCCACGGTGGAGTGCATCAAGATCTTAGTCCCCAGCGCTGGTGATATGCAAAAACAGTAGCTGCAAGTATCCGCAAGTCATCCAAGGCACCGCCTGCCAGTCAGTCCTAGAGTTCGAACATGGCTTGCGATTCAAGATGTGCATGTGCAAACATCTCTGCCAGGGAACAGGAAGAATGTGCCATTCATTCCGAAGTCGATAGACATTCCCGCAGAATCCGGAAACAGCTCGGCAGGATCCTTGGGCTGCGTTGGCAGCTTGAACTTACGAGTAAGACAGGCTCTCAGGTCAGAGGGTCTGGCGTCCAGAGGCCTCCAACGCTGAGAGCGAAAGTTCTGCGAATCTCTGCCATTATGAACGAAGCCCGCATACATTAGGCGAGAGGCTTGAAATGCAGGAAAGCCAGATGCCACTTCGGCCACCTGTCGGCTGTTGCGAGCAGAACTGAGATGGTTTTGAAGTGCCGGTCCTCAAACTGCTTGGAAAGTCTGTCCATGAGCTCTGTGGCCGACATTTTTGCAATTGATGGGCAGCAAGCGGAAAGGTTCGCACCTAGAGCTGAAAGCGCAGACACTGGCTGACGTTGGATACCTGTTCAACCTACAAACACTGAGATGCCCACGAAAATCTTCTGCATCGAAAAGGGCCAAGAGCTCTGGCTCTGCAGCCTGTTGCTGGCTCTGCGCTGGGGAAGTTCACGCTCTCACAACTTGCCAGAGGAGGTCTCCGGAGTTTGTGGGATCCGCCTTCGACTGCACAGCTGCGCTCTTGGCGACCTCGTTAAAGACCTGCTGTTGCCATTCTGTCCTGAGCAGCGGTACGGTCCAAATCTGAGCGGTTTGTAGATTGCTACCTGTAGGGCTGCAATGCCGGTGCGGGACAGGGCTTTGCACGTTCTTTGGCACGTTTGCTTTCATGACTCGAAAAACTGCGAGGTGCTGGCATCATGAGGATCATTTGCAACCCATGGGCAGCATCGGCAGCATCGCTGGGGGCCCAGCGACCCATGCCATGAAGCCAGCAACTTTTTTCTGCTCTTCGCGGCTGCCCGAACACCCCTTAAACGTCATGTTGAGGCGGTCCCAGTGCCTCACTGCCCGAAAACTCCGGAAAACATCGCGATTGGGCTCAACATGTTGATTTTGCAGTGCCTATGGCAAGGTTGCGGTTGCGGTGCCAAAAAATCCTTCCTTCTCACCACAACGTTCCGTGAGACGACCGCCCATGCAGCATCACCCAATTTTTCCCGCCTGCTTAGAAAGGACGAGATTGCTTTGCAGGGTGGTTCGTCGCTTAGGAATAGGGATATCTTCAGTTGGTGCCTTCGTGCGCAATTCTAGCCAAGGTGCAGCGGTGCGCCGAGAGCATTGCCAGAAAGTAACTGGAGCCTGAGCGAGAAGTCTATGTTGATTTTCGCAGACATTCTATTCCCAAACCAGCCGTCTTACAAGAGAAGTCTGCAGCCATAGAACGACAGCACCAGGCCCACAAGAACGGCGCCAGCCATGGGGAAAGAATTGAATCTACTGACTGTATACACTCCGTGGAAAAATACAAGGGACAGCCGAAACTGCCTGCCGGGCGATATGCGTGCATCAGGGATTACCCTGGATTACCCTTAAGCAGACAGGTAGAAGCAAAGCAAACATTGCAGGCTGAGCTCTATGGCTCCGTGGTCGAAAGAGTATTCAGTATTGTCTAATCCAGTGCCTTTCTGTCCACAGGTACGCATCCAGCGCGGCACCCATGACAGCTCGCAGATTCCTTGGCGAAGGACAAACAAGCCGATTGCTTCGGAGAGCTTTGCCACGCGTGCACTGGCTGAGGAGAGGGCGGAGTGTCTCCATTCGCTGACAAGAATGACCGGCTGGGGCTCTGCATCGTGCCGGCGGCTCCAGCAACAAGCTCTCCAGTTGGTTTGGGAAGTGCTATGATGCTCAGGCTACGTTGTGCCTAGTGCCTACTGTACAGGGTCCGATCCAGAGTCTCATTTTCAGGAATTCATTTGGCTACGCTGTGCAACTGTGCTCCTCTGGCCCAAAGGCTGGCCGGGTGTTGGCAAAGCAACAGTGATTGATCCTGTGCCTTTGCGCTGCTGGCAAGATCCGCCCGAATTGCACGCCCGTGTGTCTCTTCGAAGCAGCCCTCGGATCTGACTGCAAAGGCGATGTGCAACGAGCAGTCTGCCCCCCGCATTCTGCTGCGGCCTTGCCGGCGAGCACGCCTCCCCGAGCGCGAAGATCGCAGAGTACTTAGGACATAGGAGTTTTTCCTTGCATCCCGTGAACTCAATGCATAATTTTAATTTCCACTCGTACAGAAGCATGATCTTGCGCGCATCTCTTCTGTTGCCGATTAGCAACTCTAGGATCGCCTCAAACGGAAGCGAAAGGATCAGGATCTGCTGTCCAGCCGCATGGGATCGCATCCAAAAAAACTAGCAGCTTGAATCCGCCCAGACTGCGGATCTTGAGTTGGAGCCACTTGGTCTCATTGCCCTGAAGCTGTCGCTCTTCATGGTTGGCTGTGTCCATCCTTGCTCACAAACCAAGAGCAAGGTGCTTCTTCCAAACGGCTGAGGGTCGCAACATCTTCCTCAGCTCTGCATCGTGCAGCCCAGATGCCGTGCCGCCGATCTTCGCTGACATTCTGAGGCTTCGTCCATGGCTGCCGGTCACCTAGTCATGCTTCGAGGCAACTCACATCTCCAGAACAAGACACACAACGGGAGCAATGCCCAGAAACAACTATTCTAAAAGCCTTGTATTACGGGAAGAGTGGAGGAACATGCGGATCGCCTCGCTGGGCGAACATGTTGCTGACAAATTTTCGAACTTTGCACCGCTGGCATGCTGCTGTTGCTAAGATAGATTCAGTGGAAAGGAAAGGTCCAGGCCGAAACTGCGGTAAACCCGTGCGCAAACGGAAGACGTCAGGTGTTGAGGACAAAGGCACGGAATCGTCCGAGCAAATCGGTGCGTTGGACTGGCACATCCTAGGCTGACCGCCATGCTGATGGATGTCTGCAGCTCTGCGCAATGTCTGCAAAGCTATGCCCATGCAGCCTCGCCTCTGGACTGAAGCTGTTAGCCATTGTGCTGGCCACGGAGGCACTGTGCAATGGAAGCATCGAGTCTTGCATAGTTTCCAGCTCCAGCTTCATCCTCTGTAACTTTGCTGGTATGAGACGTCGCGCAGGACTCTTGGCAGTTTCGTGGCCAGAGCTGTTGATAGTCAATTGATCACTATTTGAATTGACATCAGCGCCGTCCTGTGATTCTCTTGCCGCTGCGCTTCTAGAAGTGAAGTCAGCTCGAGTACCTGCACTTTGAAAGAGGACAGTGGCAACCAGCATATTCACAGAAAAGAGCCTTGTCTCCGGATACTCCAAAGGGCGCCTTGTCGTCTGCGCTCAGAAGGCCAGGCCCTGCAGTGCCTGTGCTCTGGTGCAAGCGGAAGCGATCTTTAAACCGCAATGCCACACCATGAAAGGAAACACCCGCGACACTGCACGACTGGACGGGCAGCTCGGTTCACGGGCTCTGCGGCTCCTGTCGGAAGCTGTTGGAGAGTCGAGCCGACCTCGTGTGCATGTGTAGGTCTCTGTCAGTGCAGGCCTGCAGAATCTGAAAACTGGACTGATAGAGACAAGTTTCTTTCTGGCAGATATCTGGGCAAATACTCCAACTCTGCAGCCTCAACTGTGCGGCATGGCTGGATCCCGCAGACACAAAGTGCTTCAGGAAAGGGGCTCGAGGAGAGGATGCCTTCGGGGATGGAGGAGCCTCTGTTCCACAGGATCATCGAGTTTCATGTGGCAAGGGCGCTCCAGGCACCTCCGGCAAGGCTGTCTGGACTGCGACCGGTGGCGGCTGTCGCGGAAAGAGCCCTGGTCCTTGCGAAAAGCAATCGCCGAGCAGGGTCGGGCAGATCCTTTGGCTTGTGTTGAGGGAGCGCGGTAATGATTGAAAACGCCTGTATGTGGGGGAACAGATTGCTGCAAGTCCACTGGGAAAAAGCTGGCTGCATGTTGATGCCTTGGCTTCAGTCGCCACCTGTCTCGTGACACGATCCGAGTGTTGAAAATGCTGTTGCCCCGCGGGTGCATCCAAGCGTCTTCCACATAGGATGTCTCATGATGATAAGCATGAAGTAAGCGCACAGAAAGAGAAACACATAGTGGACGCTCAGCCAGCAGCATCTAGCCGCACTGCTATTCTCGTTTGGGTTGCCGGTTCCTTCGGGTTCCTGCCGGGGTTCCGAGGGTTCGTTGTGGTTCCCGCCAGTTCCGGTTTTTGCCGCTTCCTTTCGGCTCCTGCCGGTACCTTCCGGTTCTTGTCGCTTCCTTCCGCTTCCTGCCTTACCTTCCAGTTCCTGTCGGTTCCTGCTAGTTGTACTTAGACCGGACCGGTAGGTTCTGCGATCCCGGTGTGGAGGCACCCCTTCCCGACCGGTGCAAACAGACTTTCATTGCCCCCTCCTGGGCGGGCCTCGTTGCATCTTCCATCTGACCTCATTCCTTGTCGTCTGATGCAACTTGCTGCTGTATGCATCCATTGGCATGAAGTCATCATCCCCTTTTCGTTCTGATCTTCGGTGTCCTCCTCCTCCACCTCATCATCATCAACAAGAACATCCCTGGTCTTCACCATTCGGAAACATTGTCGAACCAACCCTGCTTGCGAAGGGTCCGGAGAGGGAGAGAGAGAGAGAGAGAGAGAGAGTGTGTGTGTGTGTGTCTGTGTAGCTCATTCGTACAAAGCCTCCGAAGAGCTTCGATCGCATACTACTTCAATCATGCCAGCGCACAGTGGCCTTTCATGCCGAAGGTCCTGAAGTGGCAGCACTGCCTCTGGCGACGCCACCCGAGATGGCCGTGAGGTTGGCCTTGGAAGATGCTTGGAGCGCCTTCTCTGCCGCAGCCAGGCGAAGAGCCTGGCAGTGAGTGTGGGATAGTGTGGGGCTCTTAAGGTCATGGGATTTCTGGAACTCCGCTCCTCGCCTGTCGCTCTCCACGTTGCATCAGCTCGTTCAGGTGCCGGTCGCGTGCATCCAACTCTGCCTTCAGACTGCCACGCTTGGGTCCAGACTGTTCACAGGTGCTCTTGCAGCATTGCAGCACAGTTGCAGCGCAAGTGGTGGCTATCTACGCAGGCAAAGGCAGGTTGCAGTTCCGACACCGCGGGGTAAGTTTTCATCGTTCAAGACCTGCTATACTGTTACTTGATTATGCATGGCAGCTCGAAATTGGGGTCCTCCGTGACCTCGCAGATCCCTATCTCGTGCCTGCAGCGCGATGATAGTCTCATCACGTTCGTGCAGGCGCTGCGTCAAAGCAATCATGATGTCCTGACTGTGCCAAGGCGGGATCCATCCAGGGATAGTGCGAACTACAGAGCATTACGGTACACCCTCCCAGCGAAAAACTGCGTGCTTCACTCGGAATCGTCTAATGGTCCAAGCGACCCGCTGCTTCAAGAGAAGCTGCTTGTATCGACCCACCTGCGCCTCGTCAGGATCTCGTGCGGACTTCAAGCAAGCAGGATTCAAATTCAATGAACTCCTGTGCTGCATGTTTGTGTTGCTACCACTAGTACCGTTACTTCCGGTACTTCATAATGTTGTCACTACTACGCTTCTCGCTGATAAGCCAACAGAGATAGTGGCTGATGGCTCCAGTACATGGCCTGGCCTTGTCATCCTCCACAGCCGTGAGCTCTCTTGCGGCTGACACGCTGGAAGCTCGGCTTCCTCAGCTGTGGTGCACACCTCTCGGTGTCGCACGCTCTATGTTCCACAGCAGCGTTTCGGCTTCATGACGGCTGCGTGTAAGATCATGCAAGGCAGGCACCAGCCAGGTCCGTGCGCAATGGTGCCATCGACTCGAAAGGCAGGCCTTGCCGATCCTGAGGCGGCATAGTGTTACAGGATTATGTATGTAGTTTCGGATTCGTTTTGCGTACGAAGCCAAAACATTGCATGCACATCGCTTCAGGGCACGAAAGACTCAGGGAAGTCCGATCCGATGCTCCTGGGTAGAGGTCTATCACATACAGACGCAACATCGGCACGAGTCCTTTGATGCTGGTTGCCAGATGTTTCCAGGACATGCACGAAACCCAGCAGTTCCAACAGCTGTCCTTTTGACCTCCTGGCTGCGCTCAGCAAGTTCGCTTCGCAAACGGCGAATCTCTGCCTCGTACCTGTTCGGGACCCTGTGGCTGTCGCTGTATGACTCTTGTGAGGAAAAGAAATGTTCCGCATGCTCCCAGAGCTTTTATCGACAGGCCTCCGGGTCAAAGTCCGGGGATCAAGATCTTCGTTCACCTGATTCACGGCTCTCGACGCAGGTGCTGGTGAAATGAAAGTGAGATTTTGGAGGGAATCAGATTAACATTGAAGCATCGCTTGAGGCAAAAAGGATCGACACGGCTCCGTGCTAGCTTGCCGCAACGAGGCCTCATGAGAAAAAAACGAGGCGGGGAGCAACTTCCAAACCTGCTCGGGAGCTGAGGCTGAGCCGGGCCTGTGGAGTGGTGACGACACCTTTTGCGCGCTGGGCGAATTTCAGGGTGGACAAAGATTCCGCGAAGGCTTCGGCAGCTGGCGAAACCATGGCCTGAGAAGACGTTCGCGCTTTCGAAGGGATAGCTCGGGCAGACTCAAACTAACTAACCCGTGACGCTAGACACGACATTCGCCTGAACTTGTGCAAAACAAGCCCACGTGCTAAGCCTGGCTGATCTCG